AAAGAAATAATAATATAAGATATACAGTAATTAAACAAAATTATGAAGCTGAACAATATTTGCTAGCTTGAACAAATAATAAAATATTTCATCATTTTGCAATAATGTTTCTTTTTTTTCCCTGAAATTTGATCTTTACGTAGGTAATTTGAAAAGTTTCAAAAATTTCAGCTTATCCTATTTCGTTGGTATAGAAGCGAGAACAAGTAATAGTAATGCTTGGTTCGTCGGCCTGTTAAAAGAGAATAACGGTTAAAGTTTCATCTTTGTATATTTTCTCTAACTAAACTCCTATAGTTTCTTACCCATTAACGACATTTTCATTTTAAATTATTAGAAAAGTATAGAGAAAAAGTTTTATGCTACTAAAATGAATTTTGTTTGATATTGCAAAAATTCTTGACTTTTGATTAATTATATTGATGAAAATACGTATTTACCTAAGTAAATGCCTAAGTACGTAGATACGTAGGTACGTAGGTACGTAGGTACGTAGAACGATCGATTGCAAAGGGTCACCATGTATATTGGCATACGCTTGAACCTATTGTTCCTGTTAAGGTCGTAAGCTCTGGCTTTGGTAGTAGGTACGCGAATCGCGTGGTGCATCGATCATACGTAATACACAGTAGTCGAGAATCCTTCTCAAAAACGAGGTCGTACTAGCTATCCCAGCTCATTTATTTATCCTATTAATGCTTATATGATACTTCTTTTATTTCTACCAATTTTTCCACTTGCCCACACAAATCTATTATACTGATGCATACGAACTATTTAATATTAGATTACCTTATCGTTTTTTTTTTCTATTAAAAATTCAATCATTGAAAATCCATCGTTAAACTACGTAAGTTAACGAACAATCCTCGTCAAAAGTGCACGTGCAGTCCAAAAGTCATAAATGTGAAACCTCTCAAACCTATATTTATTCAAACTTTATATCATAGGGTAGTTGGACAGGTGAACAAAATCAGAACATATTGTTTTGATCTTGTCGAACGTTTCGTCCTTATATTAAGACTTCTTCAGCAACTATAAAATACAGAGGTTATATAATCTTATAAATACATAGTTCTTTGAAACGATAAATATATAATAATATTTTTTATTTATACCTTAATCAAATCAATGTCCCGAGTCTTCTATGTATTGATAAGACATACATTATAAATTTTTTATTTTTTTTATAACACATAAACTAGACCTAACAATAAATCGTGATTGATTAAAAAATTCGTTTGTAATGTAATAAATTTAAAATTAAACATGTAAATTAAACAGTAATTAATCTAGACTAATGTCTCATAGTCTAGGTATCTAACTACTGTAGTGTCATATATTATTGTTATTAAATAATGTAATTGAGTGGTAGTTAAATTTTAAAATTTTGTTATAGATACTGTTTAAGTTGTTAGACTCAGATCTGAAATTAATCATGTTATTATTGATAAATTTCGATTATATTTCTGTTAAACCAATTGTCTTCAATATCAAGAATAGTTGCTATGTCGAATTTGAAATTATGCCATGTTGTAAATTGATGTTCAGCTAATGCAGTGGTATTAACCCTTTGCACTCCGCTGTCTCACTGTATGAGACATCTTGATTCTAACTTATCACTCCGATGTCTCAACGTATGAGACATTAAAGTTTATTAGTGATTACGAGAAATTAAGTTATTTCAGCACAACTTTTTGAGACATGCATGTTTCCCTCATGTTTTTTTTTAAAATAGCACAAGACATCGAATCAAAATATAGTGAAATAACAAAGATATATAAAAAAAAAATATCAGCGGGTTTTGTGTTCTAAGAGAATGCGAGACGCGTGCTTACGACGGTCCGAGAACTTTTTGGCGAAACTTGAGAAGAGCGACAAAAAAAATTTGTAGAAGAAATATTTTTATAGGAGTATATCTCGCATTTTATAGTGAGATTTTAATGTACAAAGAAATATTATCAAATAGTGTCACATTTCAAATACATTGGAACGCTCTCGCTCTTTTTCAAATGCAACGCTATTACACACATACATTCTCTTAGTAATTAAGTTCTTTTGGTAAAAGTTCTTTAGGTAAATATGTTCCTTGATGTCTACAGATTAATATAAATCCAATATCAAATCCGTTATTTGGTTCCAAAGTTATACTAAATAATACGAGGGTTTGTAAATGTGCCGTTTCTGCCGCTAAGTCGCGCGGAGTTGCTGCTACTCAGCGTAAAAAGTCGTGCGGAGTGCAAAATGTTAATTTTTAACATGTTAGTAGGTTTACAGTCATTTTTATGTTGATCAACCCTTTTTTTTAATTTTTGTTTCGTTTGTCCTATGTAGCATTTTTCGCATTTACTGGGTATTTTATATATTAAGCTCGATTGATCTAGTTTATCAACTTTATCTTTTAATTTTGTATAGATAGAATTGACTTTCATTAAATTATAAAATATATTTATTGTTGATAATAATATTTTTATTTAAACGAAAATTGTCTTTCTTTTAAATTTGAACAGTAATGTATTAATATTCTCATATGAAACGAATGCATTTCATGCATTAACGAAAATGAGAATCCTGTAGCAAGGACCATTTAACGGGAACGTTATTTTGGAAAGAATGAAAAAAGGTAAATAGATAGCCGACGTAAACTGTTACGAACTGTCTACACCGTAACCGTCACATATTACGTAGATATGCTAGCTCAGAATTCCCTTATTTTGTTTACATTAAAAGGAAATTGGATTTTTAATAGAAAAGTAAAAAAAGAGAAAATGTAATGTCACTTAATATTCTATACAAATATTTTTATCAATTCTAATAAAAGATCTTTAAAGAGTTATTTAAAGTTATTTTATTTAATATAAAATAGAAAGAAAATCAGTGGTTGTATTATAAAAGAATTTAATAAGAATAATTTGTAACATTTTATATGGATCATCTATAATATGTAGAATATAAAAGGGAAAAAAAGGAAAAGAGAAAAAAAGATAGAGAAAAATGGAGGTTTACGAGTGGAAACCGATAGTATACTCGTGTTTTCCTTTCATTATTACCACAGCAAAGCAACGAAAGTCTTTTTCTGCCCACGCACACACACACAGACACAGAGAAAATATATTCTCTCATCTCGGGCAAGGAAGGATCTTGCAATTGGAGAAACCGTAGCGCGAATAACACTTTTGCTGCGTGATGCTTTAGAAAGGGAAAAAGCAGATCGGCGTAAAACAGAAAGAGCGAAAAAGAAAAAAAAAGGAAAGAGAAAGAGTTGAAAATGAAAAGAACGTACTTCAGGTTTACCAAGCCCTTTCAACTTTCCCAGCTCAAGAACATTCTCCATACAAACGACTCGTTACGATTTAATGAACCAACGGGTAGCTTTCAAATTTCCAACGAATTGTTCGTCGTCCGTAAGATTTTTACGGTGGTCCCTGATCCCGACAATTATTATTTTTATAATATTTATTACAAAATATCATTTATTCAAAATAATTTCAATAAGTTAACTTTTCTTAAACGTTATGTTTACAGTGTCCTAAAATCTATTGGATTGTCGGAAAAATTTGTGCCGATTTTCAGTAGGTGGAATAAAGATTTTTTGCTTAAAAATCTGAGAAGTTCTAGAAGGACGAAATTTTGAAATTACCCATAAAGATGGAGAAAGGTTGTGGAACAAAATGGTACTTATATATAATTTCATAAATATATATCAAAACAAAAACTTAAATGCGTTGCTTTTCAATCTTCCGTCAAAATTAACACGAACTTTCCGGATAACCCAATATATACAATATTTTGCATTTCTTCTTTTTCTTCCAAGATATGAATCTCCAGTTACAGTATGATTCAAGATGATACAGCTCCGAATATTACTATTTTACTATCGTATTAAACAAAGATAAGAAGTAACTATAATTAGGTGCCTATTAAAAGACGAACTTGACCCCTTTAAATACGATTAATCAGGTTTGTAGAAAACGCGTACATGTACCTCCCCTAACTCTCCTTCCCCATCTCAACGTTTTTCCATCTTACGTAAATTCCACTAGTAGCTAAGGCTTCGCATCACCGACACTTCGGCAACGAAGACGGCAAGGGATGAAAGCGATTAGCCAAATTCTTTAAACTTTAGGAAGCTTTCAAACGTTTCTTTCCATTCTATACTCCAAATGATGTCAACAAAATTGAAGCTTTTCATCGGGTCCAGTAAAGTTTTTTTCCAGTAATGTATTAACATTTTTCTGTGATTGGTCGAGCAGAGCAAGGTGTCATGTCGATTTATGTTATTTTGTTATACTTTAAATCCTTTAAATTTATATCTTTATAAAAAAGGAGGAAATTGGCAATTTGAGGTAATTTAAACATTTAAATTGAATTTTTAGGAAGGAAAATAAAATAACGTAAAAAGTCAAAAGAAAGATTGTTCTTTTTACAAAGGAAAACCGGTAAAAGAAAATTTGGCACTGGTTAAAAGCTTTGCTATCAGCTGGCGATGTTAAGAGAAGAAGAGGAAGAAGAAATAGAGAGTATGAAGAATAGAAAAGGTGGTTACTTTTCATTCTTTTTGGCCAACTCGACCGTACGTCATACGATTCTTCTACTTACTTTTTCTTCTTCCTGTTCGACGCTGTGAGAAAAACGACGACTCCTTTTCTAAATTCTGCCAAGATAGATTTATCTCTTGAGAAAGAGAAAAAATGAGAAAGACCGATAGAGAACATTTGTTAATGCGATTCCTTGAACGTTCGTTTTATTCTTTCCGAAGAAAACTAATATTCGACCAAAAATAACCAAAATATAAATTATCTAAACTTTATTCTAATAAAATGAGTAACTTATAGCATAACTTTTAAATAGATTTTTTTTCGAGCAGATAGAAAATGCATATTTAATGGAAATTGATTACTCCTATGATTCTAATCACCGGGTTTAATGGAGAGTTCAAAGTTTTCGTCACGTTAGCTAATCCAACTGATGCAAAAAGATAAGTTATAAGTGCAACTTACTATGAATACGTTCGTCGATTTGAGCCTGCAACATATTGAAACTCGAGCTTGGTTGATAAGGCTGTTGATCGCGAAAACCACCACAGGCAAACTGATAAAAGTCTTTGCAAGGATCCACTCCTCTTTTCATTGAAGCCAAGATCCTTTTCGAGGCTTCCATGCAGGCCTTCGACTCGCAAATTCCATCCGGACCGTCTCGTTCTCTAATACAGGCCTCGTCCTAAAACATTCGTTATTAATTCATTTATTTGTCTATTTTTTTTGTCAACGATATTCTATACCATTGTTTTTATAACTGCAATTATTATTTTAATTACTAATTACTATCAATTTTATGACTTCCTTTTAATTTTCTTTTTAAATAATACAATTGAATACGATTTGGAATATTTTATTTTTCTATTTTTTTTTTTTGACTTGTCAATTTGTATTAATTGGATTTATTGATAACTACTAAAAAAGAGTATAAAAAGAAGAGAGTTATGGATAAAATGAATTACTATTGAAAAACGCACCAACACGATGATATTTTTTTTAAAAGAAAACGCATCATAGATTTATTCACAAGATCGATCCATTCGATGAATCGTAAGGCTCTTCAAACGAATTCGTTGCTCGTTATATTAGAAAGAAGAGAAAAATAAAAAAAAATAAAAAACGAATAAAAGAGAAGAGAAATTACATTTATAAGGTAAAATGAATCAAATAGAATCTTCCAAAAATTTATTTCTTGCATTAGTTGTAAGAACAAAGGTCAGGATGAAGGGTAAAGCCCTGATCTCGGTCGAGATTGACATTTGCCTCGAAACCTTACCTTGAAATACGGCTTCGGCATGGTCTAGCACGTGCTATACTTTAACTATATATATGTAAATGTACATTATTTATAAATTCTATGACCAACAATCAAATATTTGCTCTTTAATATAATTACGAGTTTAATAACTGTAAGATATTACAATAGAAACGTAGATAAAAAAAAATGATTTTCTGATTATCACAATTGCTACTAAAAATCATTTTAAAAAATCATTCAATATTTTATTCATATATACATATTTAAAAGAAATCATTCGTATAGAATTTTTGAAATAACCAACTATTGTATTTGTAAGTTGTCAATGAAATCATGGCACGTTGATCGAAATGATCGATAACGATCGTATGTGCTACTTCTCATAGACGGTATCTTTCAAAAGCATTTCAATTGTTTCTCAGTCATTTGTGAAGTAACATCAAGGTATTGTATACTTTCGATCGATAACGTTACGCAATCGGAAATAGTGAAAGAAAGAAAGGAAAAAAAAAGAGAAAAAGAAAGAGAAAATATTTCCTTATCTATCAGTTAATTCGTAACTTTAGAATTGGCGATTTGGAAAAACTGGTTAATCTCATTGAAAATCAGTATAAAAAAGTAGAAAAGAAAAGAGGAAGGAGAAAAAAGAAGGAGGATGGACGACAACGGAAGGCGTGTAATAGCCATCTTATCAGCAAAAGGCTTAGAGTTATCTTACTATGGTTTCACGATCAACAGTAAGCAACTCGTAATTCAGTTAAAGGTCCTTGAGTGAAATTTACGGTATAATGACCAGACTATATAGACGTATCATTTTATAAGTGTTAAAAAAAAATAGGAAATGCATTTAATCATCACTAATCTGCATGTTTGAAAATATTTTGTTCAAATATTTTATTTCTAAAGTGTTTGATCAGTATATAAGAATAAAAATAATTCTCATCTGGAATTGACATTTCAGAATATATATATAACTTAAAAAGTATAATTAATTCGATAAGAAGGTCGATTTAATAGAACATTATTCCTCGTTTAAAAAAAGAAAGTTAAAGAGGAGCTCTTTCGAATCTATGGAGGACAGAATTATCCACGGCTATGTTTCGTACGGTCGAATAAACGATGGATTATAGTCGAGAAAATTAGTTTTCCTCAATGTGCTTGTTCGTGTTTGTTCGTGAATTTGCGAAAAGGTTGGGGGTTTCAAGCAGTTCGAATACTAAAGTAAGCGTAGGTCGGTACCTCCATTTCTCTTAGGCGAATATAAAAATACAATGGCAGATGCAAGAGCGAACTATTATTTTAGATCTCTATTTCGATTCGCATCGTTAAATATTACTTACAACGACGAACTCGAACACGTGTTACATGTTCGATTACTCGATATATCTTTCCTAAAAAAAATTTCGTAAAAATATCCGATAAGAAACGAAAGGACTGATTTAGAAATCGATAGCAGCTTATCATCTTTCATCAAGCTTTTTCCTCCCATAATCTATCGTTTTCTATCGAGATACCTAACCAGAATTATGCGGGCAGAAATATGATGCTGTCAGTTTGGAATTCTCTCTGCCATTTTGCAAATCTCACGCCTCGTTTGTCACGAAAGATATTCCTGAAAATGGAAGCCAGAATTCGAATGACTCTTCTTCTCTTTATCATTCTATCTTCTTTTGTTCTTTACTGGTCAATGTTATAAAAAACTTTTCAGCAGGATCTTTCAAATGAATGGATACTTGATTAAACGATTTTTATAAATTATATTTTTCAACTATATCTCTTATTTTTATAAATGTGTACTGCAACATTGAATTATGTTAATTTAAAATAATATCGAAAGATAACTGTACTTTAATATTTAGTACGAAACTTTGAGTATATTTTTCTTTTCTTTTTCTTGAAATAAGTTAGCTGTGTGATTCATGTATTAACTAAAATTATTCGAAGAAAAGCTTTTCCGCGATTTACAAATCATTTGATTCGTTCCTTCATACTATGATATAGTACATAGATATCGAAGGCGAACGAGAGTTCAGATAAGTGTTATCTAATTGTAAGATAATAGCAGTGAGTATTAGGATTGAAAATGAAACTCACCAATGGCGCGCAATCGCGCGGTTGTTCTCCTTCGGGTAGAGTAGTGATAAGAAAGAGAACAGGACTAGTGACGAGTAGACTGGTAACGAGTAACATGGCGAAGGTGAGCAAAGCCTTGTGCACGGCTTTACTTTTCCTAAGCCAATAACACGGAACACAGCAAATCCAAGTTCCTTGTTGAGCCGGTCTTTCAACGTGTAGCATTGGTTCGTCTTGAAGGGCCTGAACTTCTTCGGGCGAGGCAGTAGTACCGGTGGTGCCACCTCCACCAGTCCCTGGCCCCCCACCACCAGTCTGCTGAGCGTGGCCATGCGTCTGGGTCCCAACGAGCGGGCCAGCCCCTCCTCCCCCGCTTCCTGGAGCGCACAAAGTGCGGGGACTTAATGGCAATCGCACGCTTGCCTCTCCTTTCGATCTTTCGAATCGACCACTATCTCGAGCACCGCAACTTCTGCTACTTCCTAATCCACTACCAATTCCACCTGCACCAGCACCACCACCACCACCAACACCACCACTGCTGCTATTGCTACTATTACCAACACCAGTACCACCTACACCACCCCCGCCACGGGCCCCACGGCCCCCGTAACCTCGGCTCACCGTGCACAGAGCCACATTTGCCGGGTTCCTGAGAACCTTCCCTCAATATCGTCGTCCTTCGATAATCTAGGATCGACACCCGCCACCTTTTTGATAGATCAACCTACGATGATTCAATGATATCATTAAATATCTGCTTCTATTTCTTCTTCTTTACAGATTCTTCCAATCTGAAATTATAATTGTCCCTATTATTATAATATACCTATTTCTAGTATATAATTATAGTCATTATTGAATATATTTATGTTCGCTTCGATGCTCATTGATAAACGCTTATGTTACTAACATACAGAATAATCGCATCAATTTAACTAAGCGTAAAGCTTGTTTCAGATTATATTACTTCTCGATAATTTGGAAAAGAATTCTTTCGACTATTTTCGCTCTTAATTAATTTCATATAATTAAATCATAACTTCATATTCCTAATAAAGTAAGGACAAACAGAACTGCAAAAAAGTGGAATATCTATGCAGATATTACGTGGACTTGAAAAAGAAACGTTCGAGCATACTCTTGCGATAAAAAATTAAAAATAAGTCTAAACGCAATTATAAAACCTTAAGCAGATTATGAAAAATATGAATAATATCCAATCATGCTATACTTATCATTAGATTCTAAAACATTATATAGATATGTTATATAATGAATATATATATAAGTACTATATACATACATATGACCTTTTGTTTTGGAAGACCTCGTTCTCAATGGTTATTTATTGCAATGCGTCGACCTATCAGGCATCGTTAAAATGGAACAACGGCCGGAACACGGGACGGTTTCGCATACTTCGAAGGAACAATTTGCTTTTGGTACGCTATCTCTCTCTCTCTCTCTCTCTCTCTCTTTCTATTTTTGTACCGATAAAATTTCTATTATCTTACCAAATTTATATTTAAATCTTTCGAATAGTTGGTTCGTTGGAATGAAAAGAATCGAGCAATTCTTCATCGTCAAAAATAAAGTAAGATAAATTTGATGGATGAGGACGACTCCATAGTTGGTTCGTGAGTAACTGAAATTAAGGTTTCTCTATTACAAATCGATCATGAGAGAAAGGGGAAAGGAGAAAAACAGATATTTTCATCTAGATTGAAAATGTTTACCTGCTGAAAAGAAATTTCGTGTTATCTTTACGATCGAATAAGACTAAGGTCTAGCGAATTCAATAAAAAATATCATAAAATATCTCTATAAGTCAGATATAAAATAATCTAATTTCTATAATATTAGATTTTAACGTAAAAAAAAAAAAAAAAAAAACAAGTGTAATTGCAAGTAATAACATTTTATCTATTAGACCGAACGTATTTATATTGAAACGGAAGAAAAAAAATTTTGTAAAAATAATAAATTTACGCTGCAATAAATATATTCGAATAAATATGTATTAGGAAAATAAAATACAGATGTTTTATTTAAAGGAATAGAAGCATGTATTACCGAAGTGTATATAAAAGACACGCTTGTAGTATTAAAGATGAAAAACAAAAGGTAGGAAGTCTCAACATCGCGGAGAAATGAGTCCTCGTGTTCTGAATAAATAATTCTCTACAATTTCAAAGTACATGTATACACAAACGTACACCGTAACGTTCGATCGAGAAATCTCTGTGAAAAATTCTCGATCGGGTGGGTTTCTCTCTGGAAAAATAGTCAAGTTTAGGTCGTAAATCATTCGTTTACTCTTTGCTTAGCTACACCAATGTATCCCTGTGTGTATCAACGATCGAACCTTTCGAATCTTTTGTTTCCCGCTCCTCTGTTATATCTTTTTCTTTTTTTTTTTCTTTTTTTATTTCTCTTTAACTCAAATGCAAGGGTGCAAAAGATAAAGAGAGAGAGAAAGGGAGAAAAATGGAAGAAAAAAAAAATAGAAAAAACTCAACGTGTTATATTTTATATGACCATGTATTGGTCCGTTCGTGTTATTAATAGTACAACACGCGACCGATCGGTATATTCTTGTATTGCTTTTTGTTGCTCGTATAAAAATACTCGTGGGTGACGTGAGATTACATTTTCTAGTCGACGGTGTACGTGATCGAGAGAGAGAGAGAGAGAGAGAGAAAAAGGGATCGAGCGTAAAATGCGTTGTTGTAAATGCAAGATAATCGTGAAAAGAAGCACTCTTCCCCCTTCTTCTTTATCTCCTTCTCACTCTCTTCTCTCTCTCTCTCTCTCTCTCTCTCATATTTTCACCCTGCTCTTAGCTAGACTCTCTCTCTCTCTCTCTCTCTCTCTCTCTCTCTCTCTCTTTCATATTCTCTACACAACCTTCACTTTCTCTCTTTTTTTATCCCTCGCGTCTCGCGGATCTCGAGACCTAGTTTCGCGCGAAAAAGTTATATCTTCTCGAAGTTGACGATCCGGAGAGTGCAAAGAGCGAATCCTTCCTACCGTGTTCTTCTTTTTCCTTTGGATTGATTGAGAGAGAGAAAGAGAGAGAGAGAGAGAGAGAGAGAATGTCCATATCTTTTTGTATTTTCGTTTTTTATTTTTCGCTACCTCGCCTCGTACTTTTTCATCTTATTCCTATCGCCAAAAGTTTAGCTTTATTCGACGATACGAATGGAGGACTAACAAGAATTCTACCTTCTTATAAAATCTTCCGACGCTATTTTTGTAATCCTTCATATAAACTTTGAAAAAGTTACAAAAATAAAGGAAAAGCAAAATAATACGATTTTAATCCGGTAAAGATCTTATCGATTGACTTATTTTAAAATTGGTACGTTGGAGTTGTTCGTAAAATTGTTTAAAATTCAGAAAGTAGTATTATCAAAGAGCATCGAAGCAAGAAGAAACTTACTATTCACCAAATGTAAGTGAAACTTGATTAATGAAAAACAGAATGAAGAAAATACGTGGATCCATGAAAATAAAAAGTAAAAAAAAAGAAGAAACTTTTCTAAAAGTTCTTCCCGCTTTAACCTACAAACGTAGGAATAAATTTTCTCTATAAAAAGTATTACATGACTACCACTTAACATAATTAATTAAAATAAATCGAAAAAATAATTTTCATTAGAAATGAAATGAATGAAATATAATATCGTATATAAATAATGTTTTGCATCTTACTTTTATTTATAACGATCGCAGTAACACGCCTAATCGTCCTTTTCTTATTTCTTTTTATTTTCTTTTTCTTTTGTTCTTTTTACGATTCCCCTTTACTTCTCTTAGATTTTATCTTTTTATAATATTTCATATAATTCACAAATATATATATATGTATATCGTTGGTTAAACTTCACCGAGTTAAATTGAAGGAGAAACATTGATGTAATTATTTATTTAAATTCGCGTAAATATTTAGATGCATTTATGATGCACCTAGTGTATTTAAGAAAGATGCATAAAACGCGGCACCTGTTCAATGATTCGTGGTAACACGCGGACTGTTAGTCTGAACTGAACTACCGCGCTACCATAGAACGTCTCGCGGTCTCTCCTCCCACTTTCTTCCTCTTCATAGTGCGCAAACTCTTAATATTCAAACCTTTATAATTATTTAGTATTAATCCTAATCTAATCAAATAACATTTCAACAATTTACAAATATATATATATATATATATATATATATATTATAACAATCGAATTGTTTCAGAGTTTAATAGAATATCTTCCTTAATAATAATTACAATTTGATCTTAATCGTGTTAGATATCTAGTAGTCTTTAATAATTTCTGTTTGGAAGAAAATTTGCTTGCAGGATGCGTCATCGAATACACAAGACACATGATTCGATTAAAGCTTTAGTCCTACGCTCGTTATCCTCCCTGTCATCTCTCGTTGTCCTCCTCATCCGAACAAACGAATGATCGTGTATTTCAAACGATATTTATTAATCGTATCAATGAATCACAAACACTCTAACATTTTTCCGAACATAATCTTTCGATAATATGATCCAATAAAAGTTTCTTGTAACATTACACATACAATTACGAACTAATAATTCTGTTATATGCATATAATTCTAATAATTGTAGATAAATATATGTATAATCGATAGGACCATTTTAAAAGATAGAACTTCTTACATTCTTAATTTGTAATTTATCGATCGGTTGGTTATAGGACGTTTCTATGCAAGGAACTCACGTCATCGTAAAGAGCATACCGAGGTCGAGGTAATGAAACGATCGTAAAAATGATATCTTCGAAAAGAGTGTCCTTCCTTCCTTCCTTCCTTCCTTCCTTCCTACGTATCGAACGTATAACCATCTTTCCATGTTGGCCAGAGAACAAAGCGATACACATACATATATCTATTATCTACTTGTGTATACATAAGAATACATGCATACTGAATATACTTATAAAATATACGTAGGAATAGATAAATGCATAATATACGCAAGAATATAAATATAGAATATACACGTAAAAATACGTATATACATATATACGGAATATACATAAAAATGCATTAATACTGAATATAAATATAAAATGTAATATATATTATTGGAATAAGTATATATAGAGAATATACCTAGCAATGCATACGTGTAGAATATATATATATACATATGTATGTAAGCATCTAAATGGAGATAAATCGCGTGATAAGTTAATTGAGACACTTTAATGATACTTTTGTCCGACTTTGTAATCTTATCGATTCATTATCAAAGTTAGTACATCTGAAAGATTTCCAATGAAAATAAAAGAACTCTTAAAAGGAAGCTTCCTTGTAGAATTTTCGAAAGCTCTCATAAGCTTTGCAGTATCCTAAGCTTTGTTCTTTTTCGTATAACGTATAAAGAGAAAACTCTAATTTATCATTAATTATGGTCACGTCTCAAGCGTACGATTAACGAGAACGTCAATCCTTTGTGTTTTTAAAAGTCACATTCATTTTTTATCGTTTGACTACGTTCATTGTATGCACTATATATATGTAAAAGCGTATAAAGCTTTGGTATGCTTTACAAGAAGCTTCATGTGGTCAAAGTTTAAAGGTTAAAACGTTAATAAAAATTTTTTTGTACGCCATCAATATTATTAAAATATTTAGGTGTATATGTGATATACTCTTGTATTACTTGAAATAATAATCTATTGGAATTTAAAAAGCATATTTATTTTTGCAATATATCAACATTTTATATATAAATATATAATTTTATATATGTAAAATATATAACACAACTGATAATATTTGATAATATCAGATATATGAATAGGAAAAATACTTCCAATTTAAGATTGTACAAAAACATAAAATACCAACAAAAATTTGCCTTCTTTATCAAGTTGTATTATTCCATGTATTTAGTATAATATATTTAATCATATATAACTTTTTATTGACATGTATATCACATTTTTCACTTACCTTGTAATATTATGCATATTATATGCATTGATATATATCCGTAAACTTAATTTACAAAATGAAATTTATTGGCAGAAAAAAGAATGTAAATTAATTTGTTTAAAAATAAATTTACAAAATTTGAAAGTATATTATATAAAAACGATGCAGAGGCCCCAAAAAATAAATAGTTTATTTATTTTGTTGTTGTTGTTTTTGTTGTTTATGTTTTTGTTTATGTTTTTGTTTTTGTTTTTGTTTTTGTTTTTGTTTTTGTTTTTGTTTTTGTTTTTGTTTTTGTTTTTGTTTTTGTTTTTGTTTTTGTTTTTGTTTNTGTTTTTGTTTTTGTTTTTGTTTTTGTTTTTGTTTTTGTTTTTGTTTTTGTTTTTGTTTTTGTTTTTGTTTTTGTTTTTGTTTTTGTTTTTGTTTTTGTTGTCACGTACATTATGTATAGAATGAGGTTTTCGATTAAACTTTCAATTATAACTTTAAATATATAGTGCGTATCATTTTTATGTTTATGTATATTTATATATATGCATGTATATATTTAATTATTATTTTATATATATATATATTCCCTAAAACTTTGATCTCTACATCTCTCTAATATACCTACATAAAATTTATCTTGTAAATTTTGTTAATTCTTTTATATTTAAACGAGAATGAAAATAGATATATATTTCTAAATTATCTTTTTTCCTTCTATCTCTCTCATACATACATATATTCATACGTATTACAAGTACATACACATACATTTATCCTCCCTTTCTTTCTTTTCTTTTCCAATTTAATCCGATCAACGAGCATTAACAAACATTTGCATAATTACAATACATAACTTAAAATATTGTTTAGATTATCCTATTTGGTAACAACTTATGAATTTTATTGTTTTTTTAATAAAAAAAAAACAAATAACTGATTTAAAAGTATGTCAAACGAAATAACAAAATAATTATTAAAACGATATTGTCTTACTGATAATAATAGAAATTTTTCTTTGTTTTATTGATTAAACAATAATCAACGTTATGTACAATACAGTAGAACCTTCCTTATCTAAATGTTTAACATTGTACATTATTTTTGAATCAAATGTGCTAAATATAATGTTTTAATTTTTCTTAATAATTAATCAGATCAGAAAAAGTTTATGAGTAAATTATAAAAAGATGTAGTAGATATTTTATAGATCTTTATTTTTGTTATAACAATCCATATATTGCTATTAAACATTTGTTAGTATAACAAGTATATTTCATATAGAATTTGTTATTCTCTCCATAATATTGAAAAAGATAAATTGCAAATTAATTATTTCTAAAACTAAGATGAGGTATTAATGGTTCTACTGTGTAAATACATATGTATTTCATTGATACAATTTAAGTTAGCTTAAAAGAAGTCCAACGTTTCGTAGGAAACCTTTCATCAGCACCAACTGGTATAGCTTAACTCGATAAAGCGTTAGAACAATATAAACAGAGTAAAATGATCTTTGGCCATGAATCCTAGCGAAAGGTGTTGCGAAACACTCATGTTAGATTCATAAAGTAGAAACTTTGATAATCGCGCGTACAACACTTATATTATATAATACATATATATACTGCATCTTTTTACAATCTATATATTTTTTCTCTTTAATCAGTTTAATAAATCGTTGAATTACTCAAGCATAAGCAACAATTTATTTTATTTTAAATTAAAAATATGCTATAAATAAATAATATTCTTTCATCTAATTGGTCCATGCGTGCAAACATCGGCGCTTTTTTTTAAGTTTTCAATTCGTTACGTTTCTTTTTTTATATAATAAAATCGAATGTTAATTAAGAGATTTCGCTATTACCGAAATCTAACAATTTCGTTTCTAATGTAAGATAATTTATAATTAAATTTATTAGAATTAACACAATTTTAATTATAATTTAATATAATGATAATGAAATATTTCAATGTTTTAAGATATGAAACTACACGAAAGAAAATCTAGAAAGGAACAATTACGAATAACTTATATCATTTAAAAACAGCGAAATCCCTTAATTTAAAATTTGGTAAAATCGTAAATCTGTTACTATTATAATTGTTTGTGCAAAATAGTAAGATAGATTTATGGATCATCGTCGATATGTATGCTGGTCCTTTTTTTAGTTATTTTCAACGAATACAAACAATATAATAGATATGCCTATACGTTATTTGGAAAAATTCTTGCGTTTTGATAAGAATTCTTAATGAATAATTTTTTATTATTTGCATTTAGTTTATTATTACCATGATTATTATAGTTCAATTAACTTTATTTTTACTATCTTTTTTTGTACTTATTATTTGAATAATGTGATCAAAAAGGGAAGAAGAATTTGTAAATATATATAGATTAGATTAAAAAATATCATAAGCGATATTTTATATTATTAATTAAATACACAATTATTTTGTATACAGGTTGAATCATACTATATGTTATTAATTTTAAAAATTTTCTGTATAGTAATGGTTTCTAAGGATTCTATCTTAATCTTGCATAATTTAAAAAGATGTTTATATGCATGTAAAACGTATTCCATAGGTAATCTTTTTAATTAGGAAATTTGTAACCCTTTTGCAGACGTTGCTATAGTCATTTCAAATTGCCAAAGCAGAATTTTTATTTAATTTAAATTTTTAAACATATATATGTGTGCTAATCAACCACAGCGATATGTGTTTTCACTGAACGCATATATGAGTTCATATACATACGTAGCCCGTATAAGGTTCAACATACGGTTCATTCCGTGTATTTAACCTGCAAGATACTGAAACCTTTGTCAACGATATATTTATATTTAATCTTATATAAATATACGAGTAATTAATAAAAAACAAAATACAAGAAAGCATTTTTTATGTATCGAAATCGTGAAAATAAATTAATAAACAAATTAACTTATCGATAAATGAATCGCCAGCGATTATTTGAATAAAAACAACTAAGCTATTCTTCGTTAAAATGTTTAAAATTTTATTTAGTTTATAACTCGAACATTGGCACACATGGACCAACAAAGATCTTCTGTCTTTATTATTCATTGTATCATACAAACTTTCTCTCAGTAATTTCTCGCACTCATAATCATTACAATCGACTTTAAAAACGTCAGGAAACTCCGCTAAGGAACGAATTTAATGTAATATCTCTGCTACAATTGTTGGACGGGCTCGTTGATTTAACACGAGCACGACTTTCTTTTACACAATAAATTATTATTGTTCCCAAAAAGACTACTACGCGCGTCAGGCTCAAATTCGTTCGACGTTGGAATAGAATAAATCAAATTTTATTGTATTATTACATACTTATTATTGATTTTCGTAAAATTTCCATTTCTTTCCTTTATTTATAATTCTCAATCATTCTTAATATATATTTTATTTCTTTCGTAGTAGCCAAAAACGCGCGTTTCTGACATATATATGTGTATATTTTCTTTTGCGTTAATTTTATTTTTAGTAACAGTAGTAATAGTATTATAATTTTTATTATTGTTGCTGCTTTTGTTGTAGTTACTTTTAACGTTTCATAAATCTATTCCCCATATTTCGTGTGTACATTTAATAAGTGAATCATTGGTTTTTTTTCTTCCTTTTTTTTTATATTTTTTGTTTCGTTTAATTTATTATTTCTCGTTCGTCGAATGTTTCATTGGGGTTTTTTTATGATTGAAAATTCTCTTTTAAATTTAACTCCAGAAAATGTTCGTGCGATTGAAATGATAATAAAAAAAGCTGTTTCATTCTTTCATTTTGCAAGCTTGAAATAAATGAAAGTGGATATACATGAAATGAAATAAAGGAATAATTGATGCTCAGTAGCACGCGCGCACATACACGAACACACGAACGCAAAAATAAAAGAATAATCAATAAAATTATAAATTTATTTCGCGTAAACATTTTCAAGATTGAGCAGCCATTATGAATGTCGGTCGTTTATCGTTACATCGCGCTTGAACGTTCCTCGTGAGCCTTTTTCACGATTGCCAATTTTGAATACGGATCTGCAGCTGGTAACCCAGTGTATGGTGGCTCTCTAGTACCATGTAACATCAATGTCCATTCTCTAATCCAACCGTGCTGTGGTACTTGTGAATTTAAACTAACCTGAAATAGAATATTGTTGTTTTATAAAAAAAAATAAAAACTGGCGACATGAAATACAGAGGTAATATAATAAGTTTGAAGGCAATACAAGTCCACGTACAATAATGATTTCATTACGTGGAAAAGTGATTTTCAATGATATAATTTTCAGTGATATTGCCACATAATTTATCTGACATATTCGCATGCGTCAGACGATACTTTAAAAATATTGAGAACCTCTTGCATAGTGTAATAAATTATCTTTATCGGCTTATTATTTATAAAACAATATTAAAATGTTAAAAAAAAAAAGTAATATTATCCCTTATGGTAATATTTGTTGATATAAAATGTAAAGTCATGTCACTTGTGAGACGTCCAGTACAATTTTTGTAAAAGCATTTTCTTGTACACATTGCAAGGAAGCCTCTTAATCAAAAATACGAGACGCTTAACTTTTGACCTTTCGAATAGAGAAACAGAAAGTTCGTACCTCTAATGACCAAGTTCCTTGAGGATATTCGCCCCAAGTATGAGTTGTCATAAACGGCCATTTCGTAAATCCATCTCTGCGATCGTCGTCATTAATTCTACGACTTAATATCATTGACCTATAAAAAAAAGTCAACAATTCGAAAAAAAAGATCATTTTTCAAAGGAATGGAATAAAAAAATTATAATCAAATTGATCACAATGAAACATTAAAAGCAAAAGGTAAACTAAAATAATTACAAATGGTTCAACGTCTTCATTTGTAAAACCGCAATATGTGAAAACCAAAATACACTTGTAAATGTAATCTTAGACGACATACCTAGTTCCCATCGGTGAAGTTAGAAACAATTCGAGATCTCCTCGACGAGTTGCATTTACGGAAATAACGGCTTGAACGTGTTCTAAGTAGTTAACAGCATATTCCGTGCCAGCACAAGCGTCGGTCTTGATTTTCAACAGAAGGGAACGTTCACTGGTAACTTCCCTGCAAGCATAAACGCGAGGAAAATAAATATTATTGAACTTGTTCGATCAATTGGAGAAAAAAGTAATCGTTGAATATTTTTATTACCGATAATGCTAAACGACTTTTTCATTCTCAATGCAATTATTAATTATTACTAATGACAATAATAATATATATTTAGTCAGTTTCGTGATAAATTTAAAAAAGAAAACAATAGATTAACGGTTACTTCGTAATTCTATTATTTCTTATCATTTTCTATTTGAAACATTGATAAAATGGTTGGAAAGAGATAATAATTGGGGAAAATCCTTAACACACCAAAATAACACCTAATTCTTTCGAAAGCGTTGGACGAACGAAAGCTAAAATAAACCCAACGTTTTGCAGAGAGGGATAGAGAGATAGCAAGTCCCTTTAGATCGATACTCGACGGTCCGTAAATAATAACATTATTACGCTTTAATTTGATTGGTACGTTGCTTGATAAATCCAAGAGAAAATCTGTTTTTAAAAGACAGAAAGAGATAACAGTAGATATACGGACACTCATTGTTTGCGTTTATTTTATTGTCATTTTCATAATGTTCAAAGGAAACCTAAAGTAAATCCCTTAAATCAATAGAGAAAAACTCTGTCTCGAGATTAGATAATCTTCTCTTGGAAAATCTCAAAATCAAGAAATATTGGTCTACAATTGAAAAAATACTTACTGTGATTCGATGACAGAACCAGCTTCACAGTGATACCTAGGTGGTACAGTTTTCCATTTTTTTGCCAAAGCCACCATTGCGCCTGCATCAAGAACACCATAACCAAAAAGATGATTAAATTCTAGTCCAACACCGTTCATAGTCCAATGAAATCTTCCTTTAGCATCGAACAACGAATTCCTTTTCGAAGTCAATACCGTTAAGTGTTGAATGTCCCTCCAAGTCAACTGTGAACTAATGCGAGCGGCTCGTTAAAGTGTTCTCTTAAAAAATATTTTAAGAAAATATTGGGCTCTCTCTCTCTCTCTCTCTCTCTCTCTCTCTTTCGAAGAAAAATAAACTTTAATCAAACTAACTCTCTCAACGTGACTTTATATATAATTGTTTCCTTTTTAAACAAATTTAAATTACGTCGCATTATATTATTATGAGTGAAAACAAATATTGGAAACCATTGAAATCCAACAATAAGTAATTTTAAATATAAATTTCATTTCATGTCATTGCTAGTAATAAACGATATTATTCTAGATTTTACATATATAGCTATACATGCATACATATATATTTCGAAAGTTAAATTCTGTAATATATAAAAAGAATTTGTATCTCCCATACCATAATAATTATTGCTAATTGAATTTATTATTGTTGAGTGCGCTGACATTCTCGTTGGAAAAAGATAAATTATATTAATTGCGTGTTCAATGTGATTGTCGCAACGTAGCTCGATATATTAACAATTTAATATAATTTATACAGGTTCTTCTATGTATCAATATAAATTTGAATATTTTTTTTAAAGGAATGATTAAATCGAGTTACGATTTTAATTAGAAATTAATCTGTTTCAAGGTAAAGCGAATGCTTCACATTTAATAGGTTTTTATTTTTCAAATGAAAAATATTAAAAAGCTTTGGTAAACTCACTTGGCTTCGAGAGCAAGAGCAAACACTCCAGCAGCTTCCGGCGCCGCAGCTGATGTTCCACTATGAGTCGTTGTACATTTCCCATAAAGATCGGTTGTAGCCTAAAAACAAACTTTCATTTCAATTTGAATACTTTGGACTGCAGTTGATATGCCAGGAATATTGGTGGTAGTTGGATTATAACAGGGGCTTGGTTTTATATAAAAATTTAATAAAAATTGAATATTGTTTACTTTGAAAGAAAAAAATGTCAGGTTTGACTAGAGTGAGCAGACGAGTCAATGAATTTAAACTAAAAAAGGGAGTGACGTTTAGAAAAATGGATTTTTTAAATCCATAATGTAAAACTCGTGTGTTTTGAAGCTTTCAATAATGCTTTACTTCCACTTTAACGAATGAATAAAGCCTATGTGGGAGGAAAGATTGAGAGTTGTGGCCAAGTAAAGCTATTAGAGGAATTGATCGATCCTATTAAAATATGTCTTTTGAGTTTTAACCGACAGATAATTCGTTGACATGTATCGATGAATAAAGGAAATTATATTACATATATGTACATATATATATACTCTTTGAAAATGAAATTTCTATGTACAATCAGTAGATCGTAAATTACCACGTGTAGGCGAATTATAGATATAATTTTCATCCTACGTGAATTTGTCTTATTTCTTGATATTTATTAAAATAAAACAATAAAACAATCTATGTTTAATAAATAATAAAAAATATTTATATATACTAACCACACCAGTGTTTGGATCTTTGGCGCCATTACTAAAGGTGGAAGCTAACGTACTGGAACAACTTTCGTCATAATGAGCGTTTTGACCATCGTTAATAGCACTGTTTATGCTCACAGTCCACATACTCGCTGCGTATCCATCGCAATTACAGTCGTCCTGTTCACCACCATCTCCAGAAGCCCAGACATATATATTGCCTAAACCTTGTCTACCCTAGGAATAAAATGTTCATTTTGTTACTGAGAAAATCAAGAAGGAAAAAGAACTGCGTTAAATGTCATGGTTCAAAGATAAGAACATAAAGGATGTCATTCCCCAAGGAAACTAATTTCCTTTTAAAAAAAGTTATATGCGTTGTAAGAAATAATCAACGAGTTCTAATCACAATTTTGTTCTTTCTATCCCGACGTTCTAACGTTGAAAATATTTGCTCGTACTCGTGAGAAATCAATTGGTCTGACCACGTCGTAGTTCTTTCTAACCACAAACTCACTCTTCCGTTCATTGAAAACTTCCGAGAGAGAACTTTATTTATTTTTTCAAGCATTTCCTTCTACATTTCCTTTTTTTTCTTCCTTTTTTCTCTTTAATTCTTTATTTCTCATTGATACGATTCAAATGACTTCAGAATGTTCGTTCACAAAAGGAAAAACCACAATCGTAATTTTGAAAAAGATATAAAACTACGTACCTACGTATTTTACTCGTAAAATAGAAAAATTATTTGTTTCTTTCTACAAGACGCCGTAAGAATGTCACTTTGATTTCAAAGAGAAAGATAACGAGATGTTTTTCAATAGTATACTAAAGGTGTCTTCTTCATATTTTTATATTTTATTTCAATTATATCACATATTTACCTAAATATCCGAATCGTCGATATTTATTTATGTGTAATTGTTCATTTTATAAATCTTTTTAAATATTTTTCAGGTCACGAATGTATGTTTTATATATGCATATGATGCAATGTGTATAATTTAAATATAAAAAAATCGATTACAGAGTGCTCTATTTACATTTTAATATCTTCATTAGGTTGTAATTAAACAGGGAAATGTTTCAACGCGAAATTATAAAGTAATTGTTCCTCTAAAAGCCTTGATCATCGATATTTATTAGTATATAATGTTGTATTATTTGTATAGTAGTATAATAATGAATCTTTTAATGCACAAACGAAAATGAACGTCTACGTGAAATGTTTTAGCATATGAATATTGCAAATTACAAATTTCCATTATAAGAAGTCCCGTATAATGTAATCAATTACAGGCTGTATCATTAAAATTTGAATATGTAAAACTTCAAGACCAATCGCTCTTTGTCATTCATTTTGTGAGGGTTCATAGCTGTTAGTATGCGTTCAACGTGTGTGCTCGTGTGTGCTCGTGTGTGAAAGAACGTTTCGTTTACACATCCTTGAACGGTATAAAACTTGTTTAGATAAAAGATAAGAAAACAGTTCCACGATGGTTTTTATTTGTAAAAATAAAGAAAATAATAGTAAAAGAAAGATAAACGTATATAAGTGGTTGAAAAAATAAGAAAAAGAATGTAGCCACAATTCGTTGTACATCGTGTTAAAAATGATGGAGATTATTTCTGCAAAAGCTGAGGTTTAAGAAGTTGCTACGACAAAATCTAAATATTACGTAAAAATCAATGCGACGAAGGAAATGAGAATGGCCATCCAATTTATTTCCAATATCCAGTTTATCCAATTTATCCAATTTATTCAATTTATCTTATGGCTATCCAATTGAATTTTAAGATTTGATAAAAATAACGGCAATGAAGCATAACTAATTATTATTAATAATTATTATAAATTATTGACACAATTGTTAAATAACATTTGAAAATGATATAAATTTGTATAAAAATGTTTGTTGGTACTTGTTGGATCACACAAGACACCCTATATATTAATGAAATATGAGAATATCGATCGTACCTCGTTAACCCCACGTACGATGGCCCTCATGGTCGCATTTCGCGGTCCATCAACGGTCTTCCCATCATCCGTTGGTCCCCAAGAGGCACTATAAATGTCGATCAAGTCAGGTTCGTGGCCCATACTATTTGCTTCGATTAAATCAGTCATATAAGGCTGATCCAGCATCCGTATTCCGGCGATCTTCGAATCGTATGCCACACCAACACCGCAAACTCCGTTATCTCGAGCTGCTGCAACTTCGCCGGCACATCTGGTACCATGGCTTCAACAAATTTATCCCAAATTAGTCTATTAATATAACTATCGTTTACACATTCAATTAGTTCCCTTAACGCTCAATTAGTTCCTTTAATCTTCAACTTATATAATTCAGTGAAAATTCTTCAAGAAAATGTGATTGCTGTTAAAAAAAAATAAAGAAACGTATTGAAAGCAATTAAAAATATGATATTTCTCTCGATACAATTGTCAACTCAATCGATAACTGTCAAACCCAATCGCAAAATCGTAAATTTCAACTCGAATGATTCTTTTACGTAAATAAAAAATTGTTTTATCAAGCGAACAATTGTATAATATTTTTCTTCATTTTAAACATTTTCGTAATACGTTTAATCACTTTTATCTCTTCTTAGCAAACGAGCAATTTTCTTATTTGGAAGAAAAACAAATTTAATGCGAAACAATTTCCAGCATTCCCATCTTCTCTCCGGTAATAATAATTAAACAGAATCGTGAGCTAATTACGGAAGCTTAATCAATAATTAGTATTTAATCAACGTTGTTATGACGTTACAACGTAGAACCGGTTTCAATTGATTTTGACTGTATACACTTGTATTTTAATTTTATGCGAAAACGCAAAGAAAAGATATTTTTGTAATTTACATACGTAGATACAAAACGATTTAATATTAAAATTGTTCTTACCTGTTAAACCAATCGTCCGTATATCTCGGATACGGATATGGATCATTACTGCTGAAGTCGTAAGAAGCTTTAGCATTCTGCAACATTCAAAGCTACATTATCTCTGCGATAAACTAAAATCGCATAATTTAAAAAAAAGTCAAGAAAATCTTGACTTGACTTGACTTGACTTGACTTGACTTGACTTGACTTGACTTGACTTGACTTTACTTTACTTTACTTTACTTTACTTTACTTTACTTTACTTTACTTTACTTTACTTTTCTTTCCTACTTAATATAACACTATCGTTTGCAAGAATAAACGACGAAGTCTTGAAACGAGTCCATCAATTTGTACGAGCTACGCGTAGCTAAGTTTATCTCTTAGGAGACATTATTCATAGTGGTAGCGCGAAGCTGCTTAATGAACATTTGTTTAAGTCGAGCTCCTGTTTCTTCTCTATCGATTTATCTGCCTTCTTTATCGCGAATCAAGTACTAATAAATTACCTTTAATCAAAAATATATGGGGTTTTTATATGGCCAAGAATAATATATATTTGTGATTTTTTTATAGAATAATAAATGTCATTTGCAGAACAAACTGGAACAGGCTATTATTGTTTTTTTATTAATAAGTAAAAATAAATGAAATTGATAAAGGAAAGAAATCATATGGCCATAATACGTCTTAACTTCTACTTGCCATATGCAATTGCACTTTATTCCTTAATGTGACCTAATTTTTGGTTTAAATCAATCAACAACAAAAAAAGAGTAATTTATCTTGTATTTATCTTCATCTTTGCTTATTTCCTTGTTGGTCAACCGACAGGATACATGTGATATAATATATATATATATAGGATAACGATTTTCTAAGGATAATAATAACGTTAGGTTGAAATATAAAATCCGTCGTAACACGTCGGCGTCCTTTATTCGAAAAGAAAAGGTCACGGTTATGAGAAAATTTGAATTTCATCGTATCTTCGGTTTTATGCTAATGTTAAACTCCTCGTCGGACATCGAAGGACGACGAGGACAAGACGAAAAAAGCCTAAAGAGATAGAGCAAAAATATTTCGAGAGAATTAACGAGATGTTTGACGAAAGTCGACTTTTTTAAAATTCGCTGTTGATGCTTTTTCTTTACCTTATGATAAAAAAGATTTTCTTCAAGAGAAGAAAGATTAAACGACGTCTTCGAAATTTTCTTTTTAATATTTTTCTTTTATAAAAAGATCTCGTTTGATCCCTTTTTATTACGAATGCATTCGAAATTTTTCATCGATTAAAATTCTATGTGGAAAATACCGTAAATCTTGTAACATATGACATGTAACATTTATTTTTTCGCATTAAATTGTTGACATTTTTCTTTCTCTTAGAAAATATAAGTTAAATTATGAAGTATTATATATTTAGAATTTGAACAAAATTTTAAACAATTTTTTAAACAAAATCAAACACTACAATACAAATACTTTATCGAGAAAATAATATTTTCCATAAAAATAATAACGATACTTTTAAATCAAATAAATTATTTATTATAATTTATGTTCAATAAATAAATTTAATGTATATTTAAAATGTTAATGAGATGAAAAGTAAAAAATATAATTTTTACAAATCTTTTATTAAAAACTTAAATACAAAAGTAAATGTAAAATATCTGCATAATATTAATATTTAAACATAGTTTACATTTTGTTAGATAAAGTAAAAGAAAAAAAAGAAATTAATTTTCTGCGAAAAAAAGCTAGAAAAATATTGGCAAAGAATAAAAGCATGCAACGAATGAGTTTACTTACATAATTATACTTCAGATCTGGATGCATGTAGTCAACGCCTAAAACAAACAAACACAAATGAAATAACAAGAATTTGCATAAAATCGAATATAAAAGTTGAAAGTTTCGAGTGGATAAGTTAAATAGAGCGAATTGATGTCCTTTTTGAAAGGACAAGAAAAAATTCTACTGTGTTGATATGCATGTCAACCGTAATGGAAATAATGCATACTCGTATAGGACTTATGATCCATTAGATCTACAATAGAAACTCGACAATGACGTGTGTATGCAGTTAACTCGATGATGTTTTAACATAATCGAGTTATCCTCTAGAGAATGACTATAAGATTTACCTCAGTATATTCCATTAATTATATCTATCGTTACGATATAACATCCGTTTTATCTAATAAATTATAATTAAAGTATTTATTAATTAATTATAAAATTCCTGTTTTTAGAATTCTTTTATAGATTTATAGATTTCATTTATACATTTATTCAAATGTATGGTGCTAATCATATACCATTAATATTATTAGTAACTTTCTTTCTCGCTTTTCTTCTCTTTTAATGAAATTTATTATTTTAACCCTTTGCACTCTGCACGACTTTCGACGCTGGGTAGCAGCAACTCTGCGCGACTTCGCAGCAGAAACGGCACATTTACAAACCCTCGTATTATTTAGTATAACTTTGGAACCAAATAACGGATTCTAATGATATTGGACTTATATTAATCTGTAGACATCAAGGAACATATTTACCTAAAGAAATGTTACCAAAAGAACTTATTTAGTAAGAGAATGTATGTGTGTAATAGCGTTGCATTTGAAAAAAAGCGAGCGCGTTTCATTGTATTTGAAATGTGATACTATTTGATAATATTTCTTTGTACATTATAAATCTCACTATAAAATGCGAGATATGCTCCTATAAAAACATTCCTTCTACAAATTCTTCTTATTGCTCTTCTCAAGTTTCGCCAAAAAGTTCTCGGACGGTCGTAAGCACGCGTCTCGCATTCTCTTAGAACACAAAACCCGCTAACATTTTTTTTATATATCTTTGTTATTTTATTATATTTTGATTCGATGTCTTGTGCTATCTTAAGAAAAAACATCAGGGAAACATGCATGTTCCTAAAAGTTGTGCTGAAATAACTTAATTTCCCGTAATCACTTATAAATTTTAATGGCTCATACGTTAAGACATCGGAGTGATAGGCCAGATTCACGAAGTCTCATAGGGTGAGACAGCGGAGTGCAAAGGGTTACTATATAAAAATAATATAAACGAATGTTTCTACAATTTGTAAAGGAACAGAAATAGTCAACGATAAAACAAACGAACTCTATTTACACAATTGTATTCAGCGATAAAAAAGACATGGTGGACAAATAATCAACGTAAATCGAAAAATGGATTTATATCAATTTATTAAACAAATAAGCAAATAAAGAAATTTAAAAACTTCTTTTTTTATGTTTCTGAAAAGATTCTATATTTATTTTTATATACTTTATTATTATAGTTCATCTCAACTGTCTTTGTCGGTGAAATATTTTATCTTAATTTATAATTATATATATACATATATATATATATATATATATATATATATATATATATATATTACATGAATATAAACGAAATTGATGAACCTTGACATATACTACGTAGATATTTAAAGGTCGTGTGTAAGGGACTTCAAAATAATTTGTATATAAACCTGCAATGAAACGATCTAGTGACGCTATGATCTAACTACGATCTATGACGCTAACAAGTAATTTGGTGGGAGCTTTACCAAAATCCTATTACATCAGGGAGTATGTGAGGATAGACAGAAAGAGAGAGAGAGAGAGAGGAAGAGAGAGAGAATGATTTTATCATGGATTACGTACACTATAGAACTTTTGTGTATAGATTAACTGGCATAAATTTCATTCTACGAGAGGGAAAGTCAATTATCTCGTCGATTTATACATCAACAACACTCTCTCAAATATCTCTCACGAAAATTGGAAGAAATAGAGAAAGAAAGAATTTGAATATTCTAACTGTTGAATTATGCATTGATATATAATACATTATTTCATTTTGTCGAGTTAATATATTGCTTTATTATTTTTCCATCTTGTTTCTAGATAAAAGAGAAACTTTAGTTAATTACTTTAATATTGTTAGGAAATGTTTAATAATTTTGAAATAATTTTGATCTTATTAATCTCATAAAAAGTTGACTAACATTTGATAAGAATGCTCACCATCATCCATAATTGCAGTAGTGACATTTTTCCCAGTAACCCCTTGAGCCCAGGCAGCTTCAACGTTGAGATCCAATTTAGGTTTACCACCATTTTGCCCAGTGTTTTTTAAATACCATTGATATTGAAAGTAAGGATCGGTAGGATTTCTACTTGCTGAATCCACTGAATTTTTAATATCGTACAAAGATGCAAGATTATCCACGGTGAGTGTGTTGTAACCTCGTTTTACTCTTTTAAATCCAGGTTGCTGAACAGCTGTATGCACCTGCGAATCATTTCATATTTTTGTTCTTTTTATTTTTACCGATGACATATCTTTATTATCATACATTTTTATGATATGATGGAATAAAATGAAAATCTGATTGAAGAATGATATACGTTCTCATTTTTGTAAAACGTTAAAAGTATTGAAATCAAGTCACGTTATAACGAGTTTTTAAGATCTTTTTATTATTTATGTTTCAAATAAAACTGAAAGGAAGGATATTTATTATATGAGATAATATTTCGAACGTATTTAAACGAGTATTCATTAGTAAGAATCAATAAAAACAGTCCAAGTTGATGATGAAATGATTTCGTAATGTGAACATTAAATAACGACCATGAAAAAAGGTAATCCTTGTCATTTATCCAACTATTTCTCAGTGGTTTAACTTGAGGATTCTTACTCTTTGTAGGATTAAGAAAGAATGTAAAGAATGATAATATGTAAGTAGGGATAAGTGGTGGTGATATGTAAGTGCATTAAGTGGTAATGCAATGGATGTTAAGTAAGTAGGGATGAATGATAATACAGTGGATAAGATGTTAGTGGAGATTAGTGAGAACGTGTGGATAATCTGTAAGTGTGAGAATGAGAGACAAAAGCAGAAAACATTAAGCGAAATAGATTGTCAGTAAAAGATAACCGGATATTAGAAATACTTCGGAAAAACATTGCGTAACATGATTGGACCAACGACTAAAGAATTCTCTCTCGTGTATTAATATATTTCCTTTATATTTTGATATTTCTGTAATAAGCTATTTATTGCACATATATATATACCTAGCACACCCTGTATATAACATGATAAATGTTCCTAATATAAAACACTTTAATTTAGAAACTTGCCAAACATAGAAACGTGTTTCTTTTTAATAAAACTTCCCCTAACAAACGTTTTTTGATTATTTTATTTTATCATAAATGTTCCTTATATAAAACATCTGAGTTTAGAAACTCCCTCTGTATTTTTTTACTATACCACCTTTATTGCTGTTTTACCGATTAACTTAACATGGAATTTATTGTGATGTGTTTAACATAGCAACTAAATATTGGCAATTATTGTAATGTCGTTTAGTTAATTGCTTTCATATTTGAAATTGTTCTATTTTAATTTTATTATCTTTATTCGTTCATTATCGTTTTATTATTTTTTTATGATTAGGTTAAATTTATTAAAATATCCTGTTAAAGTTATCATACTCTGTGTTACATTATAAATTTTGTATTTTTTCTTTTATATTTAAATTACTGATTATTATTGAAGAAATGTACAAAATAAATTAACTAAATTAAAATAGCTTAAAAAATTACTTTAAAAAAAATTCATATTTTTATTTTATTTGTAATTATTATCTGTTTTGGTCAGTAGTCAGCGAAAGAACAGTCCTAACAAACGTTTTTTTATTATTTTATTTTATGATAAATGTTCTTTATATAAAGCATCTTAATTTAGAAACTTACCAAACATAGAGATGTATTTCTTTTTAATAAAACTTGCCTTTACAAACGTTTTTTTATTATTTTATGTTTTATTTAAATAGTAGAAAAGTGAAATAAAAAACAAAATTGTCACTGCATATCATAAAAAGATTTGATAAGAAAGCACGATTCTATATTGCAATGCATCATGCATAGAAATACAAAAGTTCAGTAAGTAGTTGACTTCTTGCTTCAAAAAAGAAAGAGAGAAAGACTAGAAAATCGTATTTTATCGCAGGCATCTCTGCTCTTGTCCGAGAAGGGTTTCACTTGTCATAATCGCTAGGAAGAACGAAACGGCTTCGCCTCGAGCGCAACAGCTATCGCGGCTTCTATTTATTATTCACGATGCTATGACAGAAAGGTTAGCTACTGAGGTTACATATAGGGTGTCTCAAAATACCTGACAATAATAATTATAATTCTAATTTCAAAGTGGTCTTACGCAATACACTTATTAAATACGATAAACTCGAATGAATAGATGTTTGATGTATCGTATAAATGTCTGCGATTATTTAAGATCTAATTTTAATCGTTCTTACAATATTATAAACCTAATCGAATTGTGTTTATATATTATATAATAAAATTCTATTTTGAAATACAGTAAATGGCCTAGGATGGAATTTCGAATGACCGACATATTTATGGATCGATAAATTCAACACGAAATGGGAAGCACGTTTATTTAAATGAAAACATGTAGTTCAATTTCAGAAAACAAGAATGATCTAAATAAGATTTGTTACCGTAATACTATATCTCTTTTGAGATACAGTAAATTTGACTTAAAACAAAATAATTCTATTCAACGTTTCAGTTAGAACACCCTATATATATATATATACATTTTTTGTAAATTATATATATTATGGTAGTCGTTATTTGGACTCTGAAAGAATTTTAATAAGTCCACCCCTCAACTCACCTCGAAAGATACATACAAAAAAGAAAAATCGTCTCACAAACTCAGCCTTTATGTTAATATTTATTGACGAATAAAAATATTCCCTTTTTCTTTCTTTAAATAATATTAAATTAACCAATAAATCCATGCTGTTTTTGCCATATTATTTATTTAGAAAATACTGAGTAAAATTCGATTGCATTAATCTAATTGTTAATCATTAATGTAAATTCCTTAAGATATCGCAAAGATTTTATTCTTTTCAACACCCCATATAAACGAACTCGAGAAACGTTCATCGTAGGGCACTCCACTTATGTTTTATTGCTCCTCACTTCGATGAAAAACGTATGACGTTACGCAATCATGTCGACGAAAAGAAAAAATATTATACAATGAAAAACTAGAAGTGGATGACTATGAACTAGAAAATCATTTATATGACCCATGATAGTATTCAACTTCTCATTGAAAATAATATATAACTCACTATAAATAATATATATGTTGTGATTTACGTGTTTAAAATTACAAATTTTCGAATAATTTGAACTATATTATTTATGCAAACATTAATTGATTAATTAATAATTTACAGCATTATCAGATTTTACCGTGTAATGTCGTTAACTAATAAAGTCGATGGATTGCTCGATTAAATCATTAGAAATGGAAAGTTTAACTCTGGAAGTGTAAGTTGTTACTAACTTACAGTAACTTAATTATCGAACTCGAAGCGAGTGTTAAACGTTACTTACCAATGGATCTACCTTCAAACGTCGCATATGTGGTACAGATCTTTTACTTCGAGCATGTGGAAGAGCTTTGTGAACGAAATGATATTCCGTTTGACTTCCTAGGATCTGAAATAAAAAATATAAAAATATATCATTATTTATAGTTGCTAATAATTTCATGAAATGTTATCAATATCTCAAAGAAAGATGTTCAACTTTGGTGTTGAATTTACTTAAAAATGACGACGATATTATTCACGCAACCACGGGTTACTGCAATTCGAGCTTCGAATATCAAATTGGTTCCGAATAATGCATACGAATTGAGACTTTTAATTCGAGTATTCTCGACAGATAGTATACTATACATATAAATAGTAATTTCGCGTAGGTGTATCTCGAGTATCTATTAAAGAAATATTTAATAAATATTTAACAAATTTAGAATGTTTTATTGTTAGAAAAGGATGAATTTATATTATTGTATTGTAAATTTTTAGTAAGAAAATCGCAATTCTCTTAGATTTTAAATTTAAGTTTTTATATAACGTTCTTTTTAACAGTTCTCAAAGCGTACATTCTCCTTGGTAAGAATAAAACTTAAAAGGATGTTGGTATACGTGGAGTGTCGTAACGTTGAAACTCCTCCATTTCCCATCATGGTATAACACGAAAGACGGAACACGTTGAAATGAGTTCACGTCGTCGTTTGGTGAAATTTAATTTCCCTCAATGCCATTTTCGTATTCTACTTCGTAGAAGGATCTTTGTTATATATGTACATACATAGAGATAGATAGAAAACGATTCACGCGATAAAGTATCGTAAAACGAAGATATTTTCGATTTCGGAAATATCTTTTCTATTAATTAATAAAAAAACAAACAAAAAATAACAAATAGATGTACTTCGTTTTCTATGCAATGCTCGTATACAGTTAGACTTGTACGTTATTTTATTGAAAGTTGTTTATACGACTTTTCGAACGTTGCTCACGTGTATAACGTGAATAATATTCCTAATAAATAAAATTTTCTTTTTTGGAAAATCATATAAACAACAATCAATTAAAGAACTTTGATAGAGAACAACGTGTCAGTGTAACAATGGATTTCGAAGACAACGATACATCTAACTTATACTCCATGTTTTTAAATTACAATGAACATTTCCTTCGATTAATTAACAATTATTTAAGATAGATCGAACACTTTGATATATTTTATTAATATTTACGATAGTTTAAATGTATATACATTTGTTTCAACTTCGAGAGTGATAACTTCAGGGGTAACATTTTCTAATTGAATATCAGTTAAAATCGAAATTATTTAATATTCAAAGTATTTTTATAGATATCTACTGTTTAAATAATCTGAAATATAAGTAGAATGCATTAGAGTATTCAAATAATTGTTAATTAATCGAAGAAAATGTATATTGTAATCTAAAAACGAAGAGTATAAATTCAACGTATCATTGTCTTTGAAATCCACCGTTACACTGGCACAATTGTCTTTATGTGAAACTTTTTTTTATTAAAAATTCTCTCGGTAGTTCAATGTTTTGTTTATACATACTTTACTCCCTTCTCCTCAACCGGTGTCTTTATTCTAATGTTGTCATTTTTATTTTATTGCTTTCCTCGTCGGCGAGTTTGAGAAACCATTAAAGGGGTATTCTGGTCTAGAAATTTGAAAAAATCGATTTTTTTTCATATTTTCAAAGCTTAACCTTTTAAAAATATGTCCTTAAAAAATTATTTCAAAAATCAAATTATTTTCAGAGATATAGCTGTTTTAGTGACGCGGTATCCTGTATCATACCCTTATTACGCGAAACTTTGAATGCGTTTTTCTCGAAACTACTTTTTTCGAAGTGATTGACATGATATCTCAAGTTCTACTCGACTGATTTCTTTAAAATTTGGTGGGAATCTTCTTTATACATCTCTCTATCGGGTGACCCTTGGATTTTGAATAATTTTAATTTTTAGTATTTAAAAAAAATTCGAGAAGGTCAAAAAAAAAGGGTAAAAAAAAATTTTTTTCATATCGACGCCATTTTGTGAATTTTTTTTTGGCTAAGGGTCACCCGATAGCGACATCTTTACTGATTAAGAATTTTACAAATTTTTGTGTTTCAGATTACTACAAGAGTTGGAAACATGTCAACTAGAGTGCACAGTTTTTTTTAGCCCCCACTTCACCGGCCTGTATTTTTACGAATTTTTTATTTTTTTTCACGATTTTTTTTTGTATTCTTAAAATGTTAATAAACATCATATAAAAAAATGTGTACTAAAAATGTTTTTAATTTTTTTTTTATCTTAGTTTGAAAAATGCCTAAAATTTAGGCTTTTAGACTAGAATACCCCCTTAATTATTTTAATTTACCTACGACATAACCTTACTTCGTGTACGTTCGGTATCGGTCGAATATAGTTTGTTATTTATTATTTTTGTATTTATTGTTAATCTTCTTCAAGCATCGAAAGATGTAACAAAGATATTAAATAAGTGTTAAATTTATTTCGCATCACGTATGTGTGCGTGTATGTTTGCGTGTGTGCTTTCTTCTTATGCGATTGATGTGCATACGTGCTCGAATGTATGTAGGGCTGAAGAATGATATATACATATATGGATATAGATATACAATATTTCTGATAAGTGAATTCTTTCTAATGATTTATCTTTCTTTTTTTTTTATCGGTTTCACCGCAGATCCTAACTGACCAACGTTCTACAATTCTAAGTAAAAAATCGAATAACTTCCTCCACGAGAAAAATACTAATGTAAGAGAAATTCTTCTTATCGATAATCGATGATTACAAAATAAGTACATTTCCTTCGTTAGAATTTTCTCATTTATAATAAAATAAAATTATTTCGACTAATAATTTAACTTTCTAATTCGTCTTCAAATTAGTTTTATATTAGTTTATAAATTTATTCTAACTTTTATAATATTTTCTACATAATAAGTCGATCTCTATAGGGTGCATTACAAAACGTGATCAGTTTAGATTATTTTTTTGTTGACGGATAGAAAATATTAATAATTTAAATTTTATATATATACTTTTATTTGCAAAACTTAATAGCAGAGTTAGCCAGCCATGAACAAAACTAAAGTTTGATAAACCTTTCCTCTCGCGAGATATGAACTTTTCAAAAGTTGCTTGAAATTATTACTTACCCTTAGAAAACTTGAGAAAACATTTTCTGCATCGTAATAGATGTAAAAAAAAAAAAGCAAAAGAGATAAAGTTTATATCGTATGTATTAAATTTCGCCAATTTACGATATGATACCTTATGGATCATTTATTCTAGAAATTAAATGAAAAAAGAATTATAGAAATGCATTGAAATCAAATTCCTAGAATCACATTGGCTTCTCTCCCTCTCTCTCTTTCCATCTATCTTTCTGTATGTAAAAATATGTGCATAAAACCAAAGATTTTTAGTGATTCTCAATCAAAATTAATTAAATAGACAATTTCTTTATGGGATTAAAAAAATAACATACTATCTATTTTAAAAATTATATAAATATATTATATTTATATTATAAATTTTTTTATATTATATATTATATATATTATTTATATTTTATATTAATAATATAATATTAATTAATATGTAATATTATTATTATTTATAATAATAATTATTTATATTATGTATTAATAAAATTATATTTTATATTATATATATATATAAATATATATTATTATATATTATTATGTTGCAATATATATATATACATATATATATATATAAATTTTAAAATGGATAGTTTGTATAATTTATTATATTATTTTGTTAATATATATACATACATTAGATTAATTTCTTTAATTTTTATAACCTTTTACAAATCGTTATAAATAAATGTGAATTTTGTCGTAATTTAAATATACGCACATCCCTCTCTCGATTTATGTGAATTATTCATTCAACTAAGTATTTATCATAAAATTTCTTGTCTATTATTAAATTTAAATATATTTATATACGAATTGAACGAATTCTTTTAAATTTTTCATTTAAATTTGAAATAGGAATAACTGAAAATGCTTTCACTGGACCAACTGATGAGAGTAAATGCATTTACAAATGTTCAAGTTCGTTTAATAATGTAAACTGGACGACGATTCTATGAAGATGATGATACCTACTACTACTTTGGACGTGTCATGTCTTCCGTTTCGTTCACCGTGGTAGAAAGTATCGTTATCTGTCGATGCCAGACAGTTTTTGTGTCGCTTCTCCTCGCACGGAAAACCGATACGGGTCATGGCATACTTTGATGTTCGTTCATACCTATAGAATATCGTTGTGTTGTAACAACCTAACAACTACGATACTCGAGATCTCCTAGCTCGTTTGCTTTCCCTCATATTTTTCTATATAAAAAAAAAAGAAAAGAAAAAAAGAAGTTGCTTTTTCAATATGGTTGAAAATATCATCCCAAACGTGTCATCTTTATTTTTTTTTTTTTTTTTATTATTTTTAGATAATAGCTATCGATCGAGGGAATCAAATATCGAAGCTAATAATTCATTTCAAACATACAAAATGTATGAAAAATTATGAGGATAATAACGATACTTAAGTTGAGACCCGTAGTCATTTCGACCCCAATTATCTATTTTGAAAGATGAGGGTAGGCATCTCGTCATTGCGGATTATCCAAACCATAATTTTAAATGTCACGCGAATGAGTACACGCGTACGCAAACGTATACGATATATGATATAATTAGTAGATTATTAGAAGTATATTTCTTAGAGAAATGATTGATGGTCAAAGTTGTGAGGTAAAACAATATTGAATTAATATAATAACAGCAAAATTAATGTTGTGGAAAAAAAGAAGGGAGAAAAGAAAAATGAAGAGAAACAATGAGACGAAAAATCTTACCAAAATCTGATGACGTAAAAAAAAAAAAGAACATCATATTTCATTAAATTATTAATAGAAGATTTATTATGATTAATTAATTGGTTATTTCAAATAACGAAAAATGATTGATTAAAAGTTACATTAGTTAGATCGCGTGATCTCATATCTATCAAAATATCATCGATTAGAATTTCTTGTCTTTCGAAGAAAA